AAAAAAAAAAAAAAAAAAAAAAAAAAAAAAAAAAAAAAAAAAAAAAAAAAAAAAGGTACTCGGAACAAAAGCTCGTGTTTCCGAGCACGCGTTCAAAGTAACAGGGGAAAAAAGAAAATGTATTATTCACCGCACAGAAACTCGTCCGAGCCATCAAACACGCATGTACAGAGGAAAGCGCGAGCCCTTGCACCCCCCTGGAATAACACGTTCCTTTGTTCAATGAAGCATATCATATATCTCTAATAACAAAGTACAGCTTCGCTACCCGAGGGGCTGTGCACTCTTGAAGTGATTAAAAAAAACTTTGTACGTCATTCTAAGTCTTTCAAAGATCTCGTAAGTCACCAAAAGACTGCAGAGTGCGCAGCCCCTCGTCGCTACCTACGCCATTGAAAATCGAAACAAAAAAGTGCGCAACGTCATATCCCCTCGTAAGCGATTGATACGATTGATGTATTCTCCCGGGTGCCAAATTTTACCAACTGACGTTGAACTTTTTTTTATTGTTTCGCGCGTACGTGGATTTTTTTTCCAAGAGTTTTTGCGCCCGTCACTCTTTTGATGAAGATCTAACGCGTATCTCTCGACGGAGCGTATAGGGGCTACCTGCTGCACTTGTTTTTGCTCGACGTACCATTCACGTGGGGCTTCCATAAACCGCGCATATCTTATGGCAATGTACAACTGGTGCATGTATTTGACACGCCTATTTTCAATTGTAATTCGAAAGATGCTGGGTGTATAGGAGGGTACTGGCCATTCATCACCAAACAAGGGTTTAAGTGTAAATTGGCACAAAGCTGGGAGGAAGGAATCCGCGGGAATTCAGCCAAGTGCGCGTGACTCGCGACTCTTTTTCCCCTGCCTCGGCACAGTCGACCCTGACCTATAACGCACCTACTCATCGGCCTACGCGTACCTACGCCATTTGTCATCGGCACGTGAGTACTCGTCTGATTGTTTTTTTTTTTTTTTTTTTTCATCTGTCAGGCTTTCGAGTGTTTATGCTTGATGAAAGATTCCCGGCTCGAAGTATAATAAGATAGGATCACGCCAGAATCGGGTGTAAGGTTACCAATAGCAAATACTGCGAATCTGGCGAATTTAATACCTGGTCCTGAAAATTGTATTTGTCTGTCCGCGGGATTGAGCTTACGACTAGAGGTCACAACCATCAATCGCACATTCGACGCAATACGAAAGAGAAACCTCGTGTACGCACTGGGTGGAGGGAGAGGGAAAAACTATATTCACTTCTCTCGTGTACGACGATCAATCACGCGATACCACGACGTTACCTTCACCCTTAAATTATGAGGTATAGAAAAGTAAATAAATAGTCCGTATTACGGTCCTCCTTTCCTCTTTTTTTTTTTTTTTTTTTTTTTTTTTTTTCTTAACTAGCAGCGTGACTAGCCCAACGAAATGAAAAGTAGCCCCGTGATGATCACGAATTTCGTCCATCGATTAGTACGAGTAAGAGAGAGGGTATGGAGGTGTGAGTGTTGAAACGTGCGTGCTCCACTGGAGCGTCCACGAGATTTGCGACTCCCTCATTCGATTATGTAACGGGCACTTGCCTGCGTTTCGTATAGAGCGCGTGTGGGTTTGTTTGTGTTCCGTTACAACTGTAATGACTATGCATTGCCTCTCCGTTTTGGGTCACTAGCTGCTGTTAATTTTTTTTTTTTTTTTTTTTTTTCGTTAAACGATGCACGAACAGGAAAAAATCTATTCTCAGTAGTATAAGCGCGTATCGTATCAGACGCTGGAGCCTTACTCTTCTACTATGGAAACTAAAAATGTGACAGTCTCACAAAGAAATTCCGGAGAAATAAAACACATCAATGCATTGATGCTACCAGGTAGGTTCAAGTAGTATAAGCATGTAATTGGTCAGACGTCCACTCTTAGCAAAAACCGTAGCTCTGAAAGACTTTCTTTAAAAAATACTGGAAAAAAAGTAAGCACCTCTTCCTTAATGATGTGTTTTCTTTTCACTCTTGGGACTCGACAGAACTAAACTTTCTAACTGAAAGATGTACGAACAGGAAAAAATCGATTTTCAGTAGTACAAGCGCGTATCCTGTCAGACACTGGAGTTTTCCTCTTGTACTACACTATACAGGAACTATAAAAATGGAGCGCGCGGTGGCGTGCGACTTTTCGGGCAAGTACCTCTGTGATTGTTCACATGTGCTTTTTCACCACGCAATGCTCCTCGAGGAGGGTTTAGGCGACCTTCTCGCAGCAAAAATTGCCTAATTTTCCCCTACCCCCCTCCCTNGAGTGGCACAGCGCCGGCAAGGGCGACTTTAACTGCTCGAAGCTGATCTCCGTGTACCGGGTCCGGGCAGACAAGTGCAACCGGCTATGGGTCCTGGACAGCGGCATCAACACCTCCATCGACGACTTCACCGTCGCCTGTCCGCCCAAGATTCTCATCTTTGACCTGCAGACCGACCGGCTCGTCCGCATCGTTTCCTTCCCACGAGAGGTATACATATTACGCGCTATACGGCTAAGACATGCCGATTTCTCGTTTATTTCCAACTGTTGCGCCCACAGGCCGTGAGAACCAATTCGTTGTTTACGAATCTCGTGCTCGACGACACCACGGCCACGACGTGCGACGACGTGTACGTTTACGTGACCGACACCACAGGGCCTGGTAATAAAAATCAATAACTCTCTTTGAACCAAATTATTACTCGCAGTGCAACGAAATATCAATGATATGTCCCATTTGCCCGCAGGTCTCGTCGTCGTCGAGGGAGCGACCGGTCGTAGCTGGCGGTTCCTGCACGCCTCGATGCTGCCCCACCCCGATCAGGCCACCTACAGGGTTAGCGAGCGCATTTTTTCGCGTGACCTGAATATATGTATGAGTAATTGAATTGAGGTAAAAAAAAAAAAAAAAAAAAAAAAAATCAAGCACCTCTTTCTTAACGATGTCTTTTTTTTCCTTTGAAGTATCACGAGTGCGATTCCGGTCGGACGAACACCTTCACCCTTCTCGTATCCCTCCTCGCAGCATCGATCCACCAGAGCACAATAACTCGACGCACATCACTCAGCACAACAATAAGGCTAACAGTAGTTACACTAACAATGTAACAAGTAACAAGTAACAAGTAACAAGTAACAACAACAACAACAACAACAGTGGTAGTAGGAATAGCCGAACGGGTGGTCCAGCAGCGTATTGGGAGTGTAGTCGAGGGATGTACCCGCGGCCACTGCCGAGACTCACAGAATGTCACAGCCGGGCACGGCTAAAAGGGGAAGAGGGGCAGGGAGAAAAGGACCCGTTTGTGTGAGTCGCTGCTATACGCCGTATACGCGAGGGAGAGTCAGAGACGAGGTGAAAGAGAGGGTGTATGTAGGCGCGGGTGTGCGCGCGTCGACGTAGCTCGCGTCGCCCACTGACCTGTGGAACTCGGTGGCACAGCATCGGAGAGCGCCCCTCTCCTCTTGCCGAGGGATTATACGGGGTATGCGTTTTCCACCACCGCCTCCCACTGTGTGACTCTTTTACCTTTTCCCTCAGACCGAGCTCGGTAAAAATCGTTAAGAGTTGCACTTCTCTACTTGTTGTACTACTACCGTTTTTCCTTTTGTTTTGTTATCAGGTTCTGTTTACTCGTTTCGGTTTCTTTTTTTTTTATTTTATTTTTTTTTTTAATTTGTTTTTTCGAGTGCTTTTATCAAAAGTATAGATATGGGAAGGTGTTACGTTTGGGGGGGTCGCAGGGATGGAGGTTTTTCAGCTCCGGGGAGGTGTGAATTGATTCAATGTGTAAGCAACTTTCCGCGAGGAAGGGTACCTCTTGTTATACCAGCTACTTTTAGCTCAACCGAATAAAACACAAGGGTAGCCCGAGCTAGAGCAGTTTATTGCCTGCGCAACAGCTAGCCGCGTACTTTGTAATCGCGCCATGAAACCTCGTGTCATGTGTATGTTCAGGATATATATGGGTACCAAAATGTGTTACTTTAGCTCGACGAACTTGCGCATTCCACCAAAAGCCCGTAAGTTATGTAGGTAGTAACAATTATTAGGCTCGAGTTTATTGTTCCCGCAAGACGTTGCAAATTTTCGATAAGACGGTACGTTACCTTCAGCCACCACTATCTGAAATAAAAAAAAAAATAAAAAAATTCTCGTCGGCCACGTTGTTTGCCAAACTGGGGTGTCGAGTCGCCGAGTACAACCCAACCAGCGATGCTTTTACGTGCCAGTGGCACCATCTGCGCGCGGAAAAGCCGGCCTCGGGGACGAGAGCGTGGGAGCCAGAGAGAGGAGGGATACTTGCCGAGATGGAAGAGGAGGGTCGCACCGGAGAAGGGAATCAATAGCACCGCCAGTGCATGTGTGTAGGTGTGCGCGGGGGTGGGTATAGGAGTGCAGTGAATGCAAGGGTCCCTGCCAAAATTGTCCGATGACGTCCGCGGGATTCTAGACCCTCTCTCCTTTCCCTCCACTTTGTTTTTTGCTATTAGCGTTACTGCTGCTCTACATCCTCGGGGAGGATCCCCCTCCCCCAGTCGCTCTTGGGGTGAGGAGTTTAAATGATTCCGCAATTTGCGTTATTCCTTTTTGGTTATATGGCCGATTTTTTTTTTTTTTTTTTTTTCTCACGAGAAGTCGCCGGAGGGAGGACATTTACGCGTACTTTTCTCTACACTCGAATCATTCGTGGTGGCTAAATAAATGACACTTTTATTCGTACAATGTATTTTTCTTTTCTTTTGTTTTTTTTTTTTTTTTTTTTTTTTTTTTTCAACGCCTTACGTAACGATTGAGACCGATGGGTTTGGTTCGTGCAACAATCGGTCGTTCGACAAGATATTTCGAGAATAGAGGCGCTGAGAGAGATAGTATATTATATATGTGGGCAAAGTATCGATACTCATGAATATGAATTTGGCTTTGCAGCTCCGTAGGTGACAGCGCCACGAGCACAATCATAGGGGGTGGTCGAGCTCCTCCCGGACCACCGGTATTCCCAGCCTCGTCGGCAGTAATGGAACCGGCACTGGAACCCCCGATGATGGCACCACCGCCTACGACACTGTCCGGGTAAGTCTGTCTCTTTGTAAAATTTTTCCTTATTTTTGGATTATGTTGTATTATTGTTATACATATATGTATATATTTTTTTTTTACTCGCCTGCTGCGCTTGATTTTTCATTACATGCGCGCAGAGCGATGATTCTCGTTTTCATCACGAGCCGGCCGCACTACCGTGTGCCGCTGCTGCGCGACACACTAGAGAAATCTTACCTTTTTTATTTTTTCATTAGTGCGCTGCCCCATTTTTTCCTTCCCTCGTTCCTCCCCTCCTCTCCTTTTTCCTTTACGTGTGTACTAGATTTTTTTTTTGCCGTTGTTGTGCACTCTTTTGTTGACTTTTGTTTTGTTTCATGTCTCACAGCAACCAAATTTGATTTTTCATTCATGTGCTTTTTTTTACAATTATTTAATGATGACAATGTATCATTTGTTGTTTTCGTTTTGTTACGTTCCTCTTAGTTTTGTTTGTATATCGTACCTTTTATTTGGCTTTAGAAAGTGCTAGCATTTATTTATTGTTTTGCCTTCTGTGCTTTACATATTGTTAATTGTCGTAGTTTGTGCAATTAACGAGAAAAATATCTTGCCGTTTGTAATTAAACCAATGTTTTGGGTACAGTTGTACAATACCATTGAAGTTGAGAAGAAAAAAAAAAAGGAAGAAAATTAAATGACCAACACCATAAAACACAAAAATGGCATAGCGTAAAACTTTTTTCTTTAATGTGACAAAGTAAATAAGACATGTAGTGCCATGTTTGTAAATTTTACTTTTTCTTCTAGCGGCGCGTAAGAGTCTTTTTTCCACAATAGTATCAATATNTTTTTTTTTTTTTTTTCGTTTGGTGCGTGTATAAGGGGGTGTCGTCCTTGTGACAAGATGATTTAACACTTACTGCAACTTTCTTGCGATAGCACCCCACATCCATGAATACCTTCCTGGCATGATGTTGAACGAATGTTGTTTGAGAATTGTTGTTATTATTACATAATATATTGCCACCAACGTAGCCAATAACTTTATAGTATACGAAGAAAAAAAAAAAAAATCATTTCGAAAAGTATTGATTGTTTGTCCATTCAATATTATTTTAAATAGCAAACAGTAAAATGAAATGTACCACAGATTGCCCAGATCATGAACTTTGAAATCGTCGGATCCATTAGAGCTTCTTTCCATTCTTTGGGTAAAATACTTCCAAACCGTACAATATAATGTTTGTAAATAAAAGTGCTGTTTAATTACTTAAAGTGCAAAATCACTTTTTTTACACGGTGCAAAGAAGAATCGTGACTCGAGCGCGTGAATATTCAAAACTAAAAGAAGAAAAGAAAAAATCTTACACCGACAAAGGAATACTGAAATTCACCGTATCCCAATTAACGACACGCAAACATAATCACACAAAACCTATGCATTGCCGTAAGTATTAAATATCCATATGAATAACGTTTAATCAGCTGCATACAGGTAAAGGTATTTGATCATCCCTCTGTGGGTACACACACACACACACACACACACACATATACTGTCAGTATAGCCCAACCGCAGCTCGGCATAATAGCGCATACAGGTGATGCACGCTCTCTCGTGCGGCTGTACAGTTAAGGACGCAAATTGAGCTACGTGGAGGAGGGGCTCTTTTATCATCCCAGACTTAATTATTGGTGCTGTCCACTGCGTGGGTGGTTAATAATATTACGCGCCCACGTGTGTGTGTACGTGGCTTGCGGTGATAATAGGTAGGGTGGCATAGAATAGTATAGGGTTGGAAGTTTTACTTTGCCACAGCTGAACGTGTGCCAAAACAGGACGGGAAGAATAAATTACGCTACGTGATATATGCTACACGTGTAATGTGAATGCAATATTACTGCATGTACGGTAAATGTGAATGGCCCAAAATAGGTGTAACGATTTCACAGTAGCTTATCAAGTGGAGGAGAAGACTGAAATATGTGGGTAGGATTAATTGCACATCTGAATTCGGTAGGGGGGTGTTACGTGCTATTGGGCGATCGATGTACACCTGCCAAGTTTTCTAGTCGGATGGATCGTCCAGTCTTCCAAGTGTATGGAGCTATGGGTCTTTGCACTGTGGAGCTTAAGCGAAGGACCCGCGCGTCTGAAGAAAAATGGGTGAAAAGGGAAGCAAGGTTTTTGGGATCGCCACCTTTATACGTCTTATTTTACGACCGCGTTCGAACTTTTTTTTTTTTTTTTTTTTTTTTTCTTCTAGACTTTACAGTTGAGATCTCATGTCGCGATCTGTCACTGCTGGGTTCTGATGGTAATTTAACGGATGGTTACGATTTTAAATGTAATTTTGTAAGCCGTATTAATTACAAATATTTGTCTTTTTACTTTTTTACAGCTGCACTTTAATTTTGCACGAAGAGCGCCATTGGTGTGTTTTTTACCCGAAATAAAAAGAAAAGAAACGTTAAAATTTTTTTTTTTTTTTAATCAAACATACGTATAAAAATGAAAACCGAACCAATTTTGATTAGGTTGAGCAAACATTTAATTTATGTTTGCCCAATTTCATCCAAGTGATTTTATTTTTTTATTTTTACAAGTTCATTTCATCCTGTATGGCAAAGAAAAGAGAAAAAGCCTAGAAAAAAAAACTTATTTTTGATAGATCTCATTAATGAAAATTAAATATCATGAATAACTTATCTACCTTGTTCTGTCTGTTTCTACAAAAAAGTAATAATTTTTTCCCTTTTTGCCAGCTTGCAAAATGGTAATTTTAGCTGGAATTTCTCGATGGTTTATATATATATATATTTTTTTTTCTCTCGGTGTACTTTTGTCGTTTCGACAAATAGGGATCCATCATAAGACTCGCAAATTTGTTTTCATCCAAAATCAATCAACCATTCAAATTATCAAATGGGAACAAAAAGGTGCCAACAGCAGAATGTGCTCTGTGTAGGTTCATCGCATAGAGTCGAGGTGAAGTGTGTGATTGTGGGCTGCGGTGAGCTCTCGTCGACGCCTGACTCCGTAAACTCGCTACCTATACGGATTAGACTCGCTGAACGTTCCCGAGCAAAGGGACCAACTTCTCGAACGAGCCGTACAGGAAAGCTTCTACTTACTTAACAAATTTTACCTTTGACCGCGGACGTATGAGAGATGGAGCTATATAACCCGTAATTTCGATTCACGAAACTATGCACAACTTCGAGTGTCAAAATAGACCTTGGGTTGATTGCACGGGTGTCTTAAGCAGCTACATTGCAGAATCGTGGTAAAGTGTAATCAAAGATTTTTAATCTTAAAACATCAGTTGTCGCGTGACTAAATCCGGAAAAAAATTAATTGCAACAATTGGAAGCATTTATGATGGGCGAAAATATTTGGTTTGTTTATTCTGAAAAAAAATTAGGCAAAAATGGGCATTTTATTTCTAAATGGTGTTGATAATGGGATTTTTTAAATAATTTACTAAAAATTAATTTGAGACAACGAGGAACAAGCTTACTCTCTCCTCAAATGATGTGTAACTTGAAATTTTTTAATTTCAACAACCGTCAACATATTATTATTATTTTTATCATTAGTATAAATATTTTTTTAAGTATTTTATGAAGAAACAAAACGCGTAACCTTGAGTACCTTAATTTGCTTTTTTTAAGAAAGACACAGTCTGAGTACTATTTCAATTCTTAACTTTATGAGTTAATTTATGACAGAACACAATTTATTAACAGAAAATTTATGTTATGTTATCTCAGCATGTCATTTTTAGTTTATCACGAAGCTACTCCTATATACGAGGAAGCTGTAAAAAACAAAACACTGATAGACTTCTTCAAAAAATTTTATTTTATTTAACAGAAAAAAAAATTAAATACTAAATAATCTAGTTATGATTATAAATGTAGAAACAATTATTGTTTTGAAAGTTGTTGCGTTCGTTAGGATTTAAATTTCCATAGAAAAGTTGACATCAGCGGATTGGTTGCCGAGCAATGAATTGTGTGTAGGCCAGTATTCCTGAGGAAAGAAAAACATCACAAGGTAAGAAAATCATTATTTTATGATTTATTTGTAGTGTGATTTGTTGAAAGAAACTGCAAAAAATTTTGAACAATATAGAATTACGAAAATTTTATGATTCAGTTACATCTATGAATATAAACTTCGATTCGTTATTCAATTACGAATAAATGAGGGGGAAAAAAGAGTTGGGGGGTTGCATTCATTTACTTCGCTCTTTGGTGCACGAGAACTCAAAAGAACTTCTTCTCGAATATTTTACACGACAACCCCACCTCCAACTTTTTTTTGCGGTCCACTCCAAAAAGATGTAAAATTTCCCCTATTGAATACTAATTTTTTTCTGTCCTCCACCAACTAACTCTTTGAATGGAAATCACTATCCGAAAGGGGGAGACTTTCGCGCAAAGTGGGGGATGAAGAGCCGATGAAAAGAGGGTAAACAAAAAGGTTGAGTAGAGATGAAATGGGGTATACTCACGATCGATTTTCATTCTCATAGACTCGCTCTCAACGAAGGAGTCGGCCAGCCTCTCGACGCTCGCCTCGTCCTTGTAATCCACAGCTTTCAAGCTGTCCCTTAAAGTGCAATATCTGATTGAACGTATTCCCTGCTAAGGACTATTTTTAAATGAATTGTGCTTTTTGTTTAAACGTGCATTATTTTTGGGTGATCCAGTCGACCGACTTTTGTTAACTACGTTCGTGTACGAATGAGAGATGCTCCCACGTAAAATAATCATTATGATGATGATTATTATGAACATACAAATACGAGGTAGATGATTGAAGGAGCAATGCCGTGACACTCGATGTATAGTCCACGTAACGAGTGGAGTGTTAAAAGAAAGGATACAATTTTTCGTAGTAGTCATGGGAATCGATCGCCCATTCGAGAAGTAAATTTAGGGCTGGTCTGCGTGGCGTTCCATCCATCAGTTCTTTCATAACTTCGTCCTCTAAGGACACCTTGTCTCGAACTGACTCCAGTTTTTTCAGTTTTGTCTTCAACTCCTGAGTTGTAATTAACTTATGATATCAAAAGTTATCTAATACCAATTTACATATAGATGGTTTATTTAATGCAAATTGATGTAACATGTTTTTTCCTTGTTGTTTTTTGAATGATTAAAAATAACGGTCTTTAAAAAATGTTCTCATCAGATTTACCGCAATGCAAATAAAATAATTATTTTTGAATCATCGATCATATAAAATAACAGTCATTTTTCACCAAATTATCAAAATATCGTATCAGAGATGAAATTACTTTCGCGATTAAATTTAAATGCATACCTGATTATAATTTTTAAAATGAATCAGAGCTTCACAAATGCGTTCGACCTCGTCCTCGATTCCTGCGTGAATTTTAAAAATTAGCCGCTCTCGAAGACCTTCGACTTTGCAGAGTTCTGCATTGTCGACTTCTGAACTGGAAGAACGTACCGACAATCAGTAAAAATAAAATTTATTTATTCTAAATGTACCCTCAGATGGTATAACAGGTGTCAAACGTACCATTTCTTTATTGGCCATTTAAATTACTTGCATATAAATAGTGCATGCAAGTACAGTTCTTGCACATGAATCGTTCATATTATCTTTTAGGTATATGTATAAAGTATAAGTACGCACCTCGTCACATGTTGAAACTGCTCGGTCTGATTTTTCAGAGCTTCAATCGTTCGTTCAACACTTTTCGCAAGCACTCTCCACTTGTCCTCTGTGTTTGCAAGTTTCGAATAATAATCTATTAGACACTTGAGCAACTCTTGCTGCATCTTAACAGTAACTTGTACTTGTTTCAAATATTTGGCGACTTTGAGGTTAGACGGAGGATTAGATTTTGCTGCAAATACAAACGCATGCGTCTTTGAACTGTTCCATTTTGCGCGGCTAAGAGGTTTCCCTTTCAAACTTTGGCAATTATACCTGTAGTGCTATTAAGTCATACTTACTAGTTGGTTTTTTTCTAGTATGCTTAGTTGTTACAGTACTTTTTACGTGTAATAATCTGATCAACAACTTTTTTAAACTCACACGACTTTGTGTTACAACATGCAAATTGAAAGTTACATATCTTTGAAACCGTAGGCCGGATCTTCGTAAAATTTTTATCGTTGAGAACTAACAAGATTTATCCTTTGTTTTTTTTTGTTTTTTTTCCACATTTCAATGTGCAAAGTCCTCATTAAAGTAATAAAATTAACACTTGATGGACGGGTATAAAATAAACCAAAATTTTATGTGGTAAATCAGTTTTCGACTAAAACAGTGAAAAAAGTTGTAGCCCCTCCTACGCCTAGTCCTAAAATGAGTAGATATTTTAACAATAAATATGTTTGAGTCTCATTAGTGAGTAATTTGATCTTTTATGGATAAAAAGACTTCCTAATCTATATGACAGGTATTTTGCATGCATTTTTATCTTATGGCTATGACAGTACTAAACTAGTGCTTTTATTAAATTATTTGTGGGAATGACTACGCTCGCTTGTTGATTAATAAAAAGCAAAAATAAAAAGTTTTAAAGATAATGATACAAACAACTTTTAATAAAAGTATCCGATGTTCGATTAAGCTTATTGCTCTTTTTTTAATTTGTCATTAAATGACACTCAAAATTATTGTGAAAAGTGTATACGATACTTGTATTTTTAAAAAGTTTGATATCATATTGAATGTGTCTAATTCTCTTCTAATTACTATACTTCTAGGAGAAGGAGTTTTTTATATCTTCAAAACCATGTACTTCTAACAAATTACTTGAAATTATTTTTAAATATGTCAAATGAAAGATAACACACTCTAATTATTGTGGATGACATGATATTAAAAACATTTTTACCCGATTAATCTTAAAGTATAGTTTTTTTTCTCTGTTCTTAACAGAGCCTGGATTTCTATTATCCTCACACATAATTATTATTATTATTATTATTATTATTATTATTATTATTATTATTATTATCATTCCACCATACACTGGTAATATCTATCTAATTGTTATTTACAATTAAACATGAGATATCCTGAAACAATTATTTCTTCGATCGATTGATTTAACGAAGATTGTGTATAAAATCCAAACACACCCTGGTGAAAAATTACTACATAAACTGGCTAGAAACTCGTCAATGTACCTACATGCGTAAATGGGCTTAAGTATAACATGTTGACGAGTTTCTAGCCAGTTTATGTATTAACGTTTCTCCCAGGGCAATCTCTATCGACTCTATATGTATCGATAGTCTCCCTGAAGATGAACCCATCATAAATTAACTGTGTAACTTTACGTTAGTTTGATACGCGTGTGAACTGTAGCAATATCTTACAACGGTAAATATGCCTGGTACATTCAAGAGTAACCAGACAGTGGATGACTTTGCTGACTTATCTGCTTTTAATGGCGATGGTATATGTGAATGAAAACTTTCGGAGATATAGAGCACATAGTAATTCATAAAAATGGAAGATAAGCACGTCAAAAAGTTAAATAATTCATATGATTTGGAATTTCTGATTTCTTCGGTCCCCTATCAATATAGGGCTATGTGCTCTCTCTCCACCATTTTCGGGCACGACCAATACTTAATTTAATAACGTGCAAGATCACCAAGGAAGACAAACGTTTTAAATAAAGACTGACCCAATAAATAATCGATGTTAGCTTTTTATTTGATCATACCAGTAAAAAAATAAATTAAGATAACATTGCTGCGAGACTTTATCTATTGCAATTCAAAAATGAAAAAAACTAGTCACCCATTGTCAATGAAATGTGATTTTATTAACTATTAACTTTATTTAAGTTAATTTTAATATACATTGATTTTCTTGTGGTCTTGAATGATTTCAAGTTTTTATCCAAAAAAGCCTCAATTTTTTAGACCTGCACGAGCAATTACTATGATTACTTTTTTTAAACTAAATAATTTACAGTTCAAGCGAGTTATTTCCAATTTTTCCGAATTTAAAGTTTTTTATTTTAATTTTACTTTGACCGCTAAATAAGCTCGAGGTTTTAAAAACTTTAATTTCACAAACATACGGAACAGTCATTTAATTTTCAAGGCTAGATTATTACTGTTTAAGTAGTAGTACATGAGAAAATGCATTATAGTTCAATGAACAAACATGATTTATCTTTTTTTTTTTTTTTTTTTTTTTTCCACATTTCAAAGTGCAAAGTCCTCATTAAAGTAATAAAATTAACACTTAATGGACGGGTATAAAATAAACCAAAATTTTATGTGGCAAATCAGTTTTCGACTAAACAACAGTGAAAAAACGTTGTAGCCCCTCCTACGCCTAGTCCTAAAATGAGTAGATATTTTAACCCAAGTACTTTTTTAGCCTTCGTTTTGGTAATGAATCTGCTAATAGCCATTGGTAAGTAGTTTTTTTTTTTTTTTTAATTGTAATTGTACATAAGTCCTACCTCTCATTGCTTTATTTGTATGTAACTTAGTATATTGCTTGTCCCGGCAATATTTGGCTGTGAATTCCCATGTTTAAAATTTTTTGTTTTTGCGAAAACTTTGGTTGCCGGATCAATAAACGCATCTTAAAGGTATTACTGTCGTGTTGATAAAAATTGAGGGAGAATACTCTAAAAACGCAAACTACATTTTGGTCACCTCAAAGCGTTTATTAGGTAACTGTGAGATCTTTAATTAGCGACTAAATGAATACAATGAAGAGGTTATCATTCTGCAATCCGTAATTAAAGTAAAAAAAAAAAAAAAAAAAAAAAAAAAAAAAAAAAAAAAAAAAAAAAAAAAAAAAAAAAAAA